AGAAGGGAATTCACAAGTGCAAGTGAACCAAGACTGGGATGTTGCCACATCATCAAACATTGAAAAGGGTTTGTTGGTTCACAAATAAACGGTCAGTGCATTCCTTGTGATTTCACATGACCAAACGTTTGGAATAACAGGGCTTGAAGTTGAACTTTGGAAACAGATATTGCAGACCATGAGAAAGGTAACTGTTTGTTGCGCAAGGACGCATGGTTAGTTTATATTAGATAGCGTGGCTAAAAGTTTATGGATTATAAACTTTTCTGCGGCTTATGATTTAAGGCACTATCAACACGTTGACCGTTTGCTTAAATCAGTGCCTACGCCGCCACGCTATCAATACCTCCTTGTTACCGGGTGCAAAAACACGCACCAAAAACCAGTAAACAAAAACACACAAACGAAAAAGGGTGACATCCAGACATGACATGGATCGCAGCACAAGCACCCTTTTTCTTGCGGTACAACTCGGGGAAATCCGGTGCCATGCAAGCCAGTTGCTATTGAGATAGCAAACCAAGGAAGGACCGCATCTGTCCCAACACATCGAAGCATCCATCGATGTTCAAGGCTGTTCGGCACATGAAGCCACAGGTGACACGGCTGTGCCACCGGCTTCCATCACAGAATCATCTCTGCACCCCCATTTGACCGCTGCAGGGATCATCCCCTGTCGCATTGATGGGAAGCTCGGACAGGCAGTGATTAACTGTTACCTCAACTTATTCTACACTCCACAAGCGCGCACGTGTTTTTCCATTTTTTAAAATAATTTCCGAACGCTCGTCAAACGCGTTTGCAAAACAAAACTCACAAAGTGGATCACATGAAACAACGACATGTCCGATGGAATCACTGGCGACACTCTTTTTCATCGGGGAAAGCTTCAGCACCTTCCGACCTTCAGGGCCGAAGGGTGTGGCCTTTTTAGACCATAGGAAAAGGTTTTCGAGGGTGGGTAAAAATTGCAGAGCAAAGGGAGGGAAAGACGAAAACTTCTCCGTCATAAAAGGGGCAAAACCCTCCCACCCTACCCTTGATGGAAAAAGTTTCAGACGAAACAAAGATTCATCATGTTTGACCATGAAATTAAAGTGTTGGGAAAACTGGAAAACACACCTAGTGCGCAGAGCAAAACGGAAGTTAAACAAAAAGTGTTTGTTTGAAAACTTCCAGATTTGATTTAAGTTGTTTTGCTCAAACATTGTTGCGTGTGCAAATAAGAGAAAGTTTCTCAGGAGAAACTCGCAACTTATTCTACACTCCACAAGCGCGCACGTGTTTTTCCATTTTTTAAAATAATTTCCGAACGCTCGTCAAACGCGTTTGCAAAACAAAACTCACAAAGTGGATCACATGAAACAGCGACATGTCCGATGGAATCACTGGCGACACTCTTTTTCATCGGGGAAAGCTTCAGCACCTTCCGACCTTCGCCCCATGTCACAACTCAAGGTGCTCCGACATCCAATCCCAGTTTATACTGGTTTGAGTGGCACCGAGCTGCAAGACTTCTTTGAAGTCCAAACGACTGGGTGAGTCCGCTGGATTGCTGTAGCTCGGAACTCGCCCAAACCAAACACGATGCTGCAGGGACGACTCAATGCCCACAAAGGCTTCGATCATCTGTGCAGCTCTCGAGGTTTCTCCGTGACCCCTGATGTGCGCCATTCTCGATGACTCATTGTCGATGTAGTAAACTACTTGCGACCCCTCATAGGCTTTTCCCCAGAGGTGAGCTGCCAGCAATATTGGCATCACTTCCAGCTCATGGATTGGGTTCATTGAGTTCGCCAGCAAGGCGTCCATAATCGTTTGTGGCACGCTCTCACCAAAGAAACTTCTGCAGTTGCCTTGAGGATCGTAAATGACCCCTCCAACAGACCCATGGCGAGCTTCTGGATCGCAAGCCCCGTCTGTAAAAATAAGCCAGGTCTGATGCAGAGATCGTTGGATCTTCAACGGCTTGCCAGCCAAAACTCTTTGTTGTAAAAACTCCAAAGACTTCCTCATTGCTGCATCAAACTGAGGCATTGGTACTTGACTATGGCAATACCTTCCTATGGCCTTCACTGCTGAATTTGCAACTCTCCCGAAGGTGTACCCCTCGAAGAAAATCATCCTCCCCCGCATTCGCTCCGCCTCCTTAGAGGTCATGGCATTGGCCTTGAGAAAGGTATCCAATTGGTTGTGCAACTCCTCCCTGCGGCTGTCAGTGTGGCCAATGAGTATGTGGCCGGCTTGAAAATCTCCAACATCGATTTCCAACCCCAGAGCCTTGAATTTTGAGGCGAAGGGGACACATTTGTGTCCTTCTCTTGCAAACTCTAAACCAAGCAAGTCGAAAAGTGCCTCACATGCCCAGCTGCTGCTGTTCTCAAGCTCCATCCTTGAAAGCAACGTGTAATCGTCGTAAAAGGCACTCCAAAGAAGTCCGAGGCCAAAATAGCCTATGAACCAAAGGGCTTGACTGACCCTCAAAAAGCCCGCCACAGAGCCCACTGCACCGAAGGGCAACGAGTTGAAGCCTATGATGGCGCATTGTTTTGCGCCCGGCACATTTACTCCCATCCGCAAAATCTGTCGGTCGGAGGGATGAACCGCGAATTGTTTGTACGCAGAACGTAGATCGTACGTCCTGCCTCGGAGCTGGGGTCGCCCCCCATCGTCGCCAAACTTCAAAGCACACCCTAGCATGGCTGCTAGGAAATCCACAGAGTGCAGCTTGAACTTCTCATGCAACCCAACAGTCAAGTTGAGGCCGCAGCATGTGCAGTCATCAATGACCCTAATCTTGGACCCCTGGCGGATCCCGAACCTCTTGCCCACGAACTTGCCGTCTGTCTCGCCCTCTTTGTCGAGGAATATCCACCCTTTTTCAAGCTCTGTCTGAGTTTCACTCCATGTAGCTTCCTCCAACTCCGTCTCCTGTCGCTTGTCCAAAGACGCAAAGTTCTTGGTGTTGAAGGACCTGCCCAACTTCTTCAGGGTTTCCATTGACAAAGGTGGCCTTTTAGACTTGGCCCTGAAGACATTGGACTTAGTCATGTAGCCGCTCAAACGAAAACCAGCTGCTATGTCGCTGACCAGCTTGTCATCTGGATATCCCAAGTCCTCCAAAATTTCACCCATCAAAACCAGCCTCTTGCGGCCAACAACTTGCCTCACATGTTCGGGCATCTGTGCCCTCAGTCGTTCCTCCTCCGCTGAAAGTTGTTTCGCCCTTTCAGTCCATCGTTTCATGAACTGAGCTCTTTTCTTTGCCAAGACAAAAGGAGGATCAATCAAGTTGAGTTTGACAACTTCCAGCATAGCCTCATCGACGTGCACGTCAAGCCCTCGGGGGTGCCCAGCTTCATACGCCCTTTCCACAAAGTGACTTGGTGAACTGGGCACACCAATCCAACAAAGCTCGACCATGTCGCCATCTTGCAAGTTTTCTACCCCAGCAAGGAGTTTGCAGTCTTCTTTCACGACCCGAATTTCGCCCCTTCTCCGCAACTGTCGTGAAGTGATCTTGGAACCCTTTGGGAGCGAAGCCAAAAAGGAATCTATCGCCTGTGTTTGTTGTGTTGGCACCACGGCAGCAACAAAGGTACCAAATTCTGCCACCAACGGTCGCACTTTTGTTCCTCTGGGCAGTGATCCCAGAGCAATGCGGCCTGCTGCATCCGCATCGGGTTGTTGTATTTGCTCAGCAAGGGTTGTGGACAGAATCGCTCCTTGTTGCAGAACTTTTTGTTTGACGCACTCAACTATGCGCTGGCAAAGAACTTGCGGATAAGCTGCTTCTTCCGAAGTTGGGAAGTGCACTGATGTATCTGTTACAGTCACTTTCCAAGACTTGTGACTGTGAGAATTGTCACAACGGGCTTCCAGCGCATCCAACCAGTCATCATTGACCCAAATGGAAGTCAATTTGTCTCGTGACCCTCCGTGGCTGCAGTTGTGGAAGGTCACAAACTTGCGTCCAAACTCCTCCATGATGTTCTGCATTGGTGTTGTGCCCCAATAGTGACTGTTTGCTGGATTTTCTATGCCAGTAAAAATTTTTGCTTTGCAAGTGGTGCGGGTGATCTGCTCGACCGCGCTGTAAAGCATGTTTGCTTTCTCCACCTTCACCTTGTCAGTGTTTGCCAGACCGTCAATTTGGTCTGGCTGTTCATGCGATCTCAAAGGGATCGGCACGGCTATGCCAAGTTTTTTCAACTGTGGGAGGCGCCTTTCTCTCGCCTTGCTAGCAGTGCCGCATGAAGGAGCTATCCAAACTGCTGCTATGTTGTCAGCCTCAGCTTCAAGAAACTGACATAGGTCGTCTACTTGGCTCTGATCTTCCAGTTCAAAAATGCAGATATCGATTCCGCATGATCTGCGGTCTGTATGATCAACCGCAATGCCTTTGAAACCAGCGTCCCTTGCAGCGCGAGTTAGCCTTGCACTGCCAGCACAAATCTCCACAAAAATAATGTCATTGACCAGCTTGCCCTGAAACTTTGATCCATGCTGCTCTGTGAATTCATGCGACCCCATGCTCTTGGAGCTGGTGCTTGTGTCCATTGATGGCTGTGGCGCAGGCTTGACACAGTTTTGAACGTGCCCGCTTTTTGCACCACCCTTTTTGCTGGGCCTGGCTTCGTTGTTCGAATCAGACCCTTGTGAAACAAATTTCCTCTTCCCACCTGACTCCAAAATGATGTCAGTGGGCTCGCACTGTCAAGCTCCATCTTTTGAAAGGCCCCGGCACACCAAAACAGAGTGTCCAGGCTTGTGACAATTGGCACATACATGGTATCCTTTGGCACACCTCGATGGCTTGCCAGAGGTCTGGTTCTTGCAGCCCGATTTCAAGTTGTAAGCCCAGCAAACTGGACCGTGTTCACACTTCAGGTTGAACTTTCGTAACTCATCTGGGCAGCTTTTCTCCGCTCTGGTTTTTCTGCGTTTGTTTGTGCTCTTTGCCGCAGCCTGTGCAGGAGTCCCTGTCAACGGCTTCTTGGTGGCCACCTCCTTGTCGACGACCTTCGCGCCTGCTGTCGTAGGAAGCAGGAACATTGTGATCCTTGGGTCTTGACACAGCCTCTGCACCATGGCGTCCAGAGGGATGTCACCCGCTGCATTGGGTTTGAGACTTCCTTTCGTCTCCTGTGCCAGCAGCGTCCAAAGCTCGCGATCGGCCCGCACAAGTTGCTCCACTTTAACCTGACTGAATCCTGGCGGTGCAGTCTGGCTCAATGTGCGGAACAGTTGGTGCACCCAAGCGTCATGCACGTGCCATGACAGCAGTCTGCACTGGTCCATGGCCAGTCCACGTCTCTGCCAGCACCATTGTAATTTTATCTCACTGCCATGGTCTGCTCTGAACTCTTCCGGCACCTGGGAAACTCGGAGCTGCTGGTTCTCCACCTGAACTGCTGATGGCCGCTCCTTGATTGCAAGTTGCACCTCATCGGCTCTCTTCGTGCACCTGCTTGGTGCAATCCAGACCAGCGCACCTGTTTCCAATATGTTGTTTGTCAAGTCAAGCAACTGATGACTTGGCTCCAGCTCGCCGCAAATCTTGATCCCTGTCAGTCTGCGCTCCTGTTGCTCCAGCCGATGCCTTTTTTCGGCAATGGGAATTCTCTTCACGCTGTCTGCTTTGTCTGCCGCTTCACTGTCCACTTTCTGTTTGACAGAAGCAATCATAAGGGTGGTTGACTCGAAGTGGAGTCTACGGATCATCGCTGTTTGTCCAAGCGTCGCTCCTCCACCAAACACTGCCTGTGACAACGTGTTGAACTGCTGATCACTGGGAGGTGCTTGAGGTGTCCCCAGTGAGAAAGCCATGCCACTGAAAGTGGATATGTTCTGAGCTGCAAGGGCTGTTCCAAACTGCCCTGTCTCGTCAATCTCATTGCATCTCTGGGTGAAGGCCGCATTGCTTTCCACCAGTGCCATGACGGTCACGCGATCAAACTAAAGTAATTCAAAAAAACCGTTAATGTTTCTCGAGACACCCATGTAATGAACTGCCCTGCTCACATGCCAGTGTCATTAAAAAGTTTTCACTCTCCTAGTTGAAGCTGATGGTGTGATGTAATGAACGTCACTCCCACTCAGTTTTGCAACGTGTGTGCTGTGTTTGGCTCCCTACCGTGGAAAACCCTGGTAGCTGAGCCTCTCCACACGCACCACAAAATTTCATGTGCCTTCTCAACAAATCTGAGCACGGCCCAGCTGTGTTCCGACACTCTGAAAACTGAAAAATCAAGCATGCAATCACCTCGACACATGTATCCAGCCCACAACGAGCGCGATGCTTTTTGGACTCACTCTGTGTCTGGTTTGTTTTTGAAACTCAGCAGGTGACGTCAGGCATCATGGGATGCCCAGTGCTTCCACTTCCCATCAGTGCAAAAAGAAACATTGATGCAAAGTTTCACAATCAAAGTGTAAACTCTGTGCATCACATGTGAACATGAAAATCAAAGCACTGACCTTCGAGTGGCGCCTTTCGCCGACACCGCTTCTGTGGTGAAATTGGTGCAGGCGCGATCTGACAGGTGAATCGTTTATGTCGGTCATTGTTGTCAGCTTGGATGAACACGAAACGCAATGTGAAGTCAGGTTGTTACAACTACCTGTGTTGTCAACGCAGCACCTAATGTCATGCAGGTGAAAAAGGACATGCAGGAAACCAAACTGGACTGTGCAAGTGTCATCGGCTAAGGCCATATGGTCCCGACGCATCACATGCATATCCTTGCATGTCCCTCCAGCCACTCTGTGCTGACCAACCAAGCAGGTGAATCAAAAGCTGTCAACACGACTGCACATTGAATTAAAGTTGAACATCACTGCAACAATAAGAAGTGTGACTTGGAGTTTGCGATCCCTGCTCTACTCAAAGCTTCTGAGGTCCAAGCGTTGAAAAATAAAGCACGGGTCACGCTCACACGTTCGACAGGTCGTGAAATGAAACACAGGTAAAGGGAAATTGTCATCCAAAGTTCCATGCAAAGTGAAAACAACTGCACATTGAATGGTTTGAATTGAGCTCCAGACAACATGAACCTGTCAGCCCCCCTGCTCTGGTCAACGGGCCGGCTGTGTCAGCCTTTACTGGCTTTGTTGAAACAAGCCCAGCACACCGGTGAATCAAACCTTGAATCTTGGGTGATCCTTTTGTGAAAATTGCCCACAGGTCGGCCACAAACAAAGACCCTGACATAACCAGGCTCTGTCAAGTGAATTGTTTTCAACTTTGAATGCTGCCAACACTGATAGTCCTCTGGAGGTTTGGGCGGAGCAAACACCTTATTCAAGGCATGGTTCTCCGGAATGTCACCTGAAGAAGACCCTGAGTCAGACGTGCTGTCTGATGTGTCGGACTCATGCAAGTCATCGCACTGTTCTTCTTCTGACGAACATACAAGCTCAACCTTGACGTTTGAATTCTGAGGTCCAGGCTCATCATCAGGCGAGTCAATCACTCGTCCACTTCTGGTGCTGTCGGGTTTGAATTTCCCTCTTGCAATCTCATCAATCAAACGCTCAAGTAGCAACAAACTTGCAGCTGCCCCATCCCTTGAGTAAACCATTGCCATGTGCATCTGTGAAGCATGGTAACCAAGCATTAACCTGTCTGGAACTGAAAGCCCTCTCTTGGCAGCATATGAAAGCATGGTGCATTTGAGGCTGTGACTACTCACTCGCCGTCCAGGGTCTTCCGGTGCAAGTCCATCAAGCCCCAACAAGCGACGTAGCCACTTGCCGCATTCTCCAGATTCCAGAGGCCTCTGTGAAACCCCACCCTCTCGATCTGGAGCGGGCATGACGAGCCCTTCTGGCGGGAACGATGCTCCCAGCTCTTTCCTTTTCTGCAACCAAGGAGTGACCCAGTCTTTCCCATGTACGCCTTTGACAGGCGCCACCATCGGCAGGAACTGATGCCTGTGCATCTGGGAGCTCATGGTCTTATGTCGACCTGTCCTTGTTTCAAAGTAAGCCGGCTTGCCCTCTGCGTCATAGTCCACGAAGGCCGACTCACTCCTCATCAAGTCGCCCCACCTGCCCCTGCAATAGCAGCATAAAAGCGCCGCTCCAGCAAAGGCTGAATCCCACAAGTCTTCACTTGTGTCGACCACCTCGTGCAACTTGTTGAGCTCAAGCACTGTCAGTGGGCTCGCTTGCTTGCGTTCCTTTGGACAGGATTCAAATGCCACACCACTGCACCTCTTGCTATCCAGAATGCATTGCAACTCTGCCATGTCCAACACATGTCTGCAAAAGGCAATGGCTTGTATGAAACCCTTCATTCTGCTTGCTGGAGCTCCTGACGACTCTTCGTGGCAAAGGAACCTGTAAAATGTTATTTCTCTCATGGGAAAGGGCTCCAGGACGTTCTGCTCCAAGTAATCACATACTTTGAGAACTGCTGCACCACGCTTGCGCACAGTCACTGGAGCTCGACCTGAAAACACGTGTGCAAACATTGTGAACACCTCTCCTTCGTTGCGCATCTCTCCAAGCTTCTGTGCCAGTGAGTTTCCATCACTCCATCTGCTTGTAACTGCAATCCACAGTTTGATGCTACGCTGTAGGTCTGCCTCCCTCTGATCTTGCCATGGGACGTCTGGCTTGAAAGAAACAACGTCCATGAAATTGCATGCATGAGCGTGTGCACGCTTCCTCGAACCTGCTGCTTCCGTTTCCAATGCCTGGTTGTCCAAGCCCCACAAAGACGGAGTGGGTCTAGTCAACTGCGGTCCCCAAACATCAAAGTCCAAAGCAGTGTCATCGTTTCCGAAGATGTGTTTCCAAACCCCAGTTTCCCAAATTTGTTTTGGCAGTTCAGCGTCTGTGGAGTTGAAAGCTACATTCAACGCAGCATCAAAACTAAAAGCAGTTGAAGAGGTGGCCAACTGAGTTCGATTCAAATCACTCTCAGAATTGTGCTGTAAAAAATGCTGTCCAAACACACCATCTTCTGCAACAGTCGTAGGACTGAAAGCTTCTGAAATCCCCTGAGCATCTGCACCATTGTCCTCAACGTCCAGTGCCTCTTCAAGCTTGTGCAAGTCATCTGAAAAGCTGACAAACGATCCAAGCCCTTGAAAAGCATGGGATTCAACTTCTGTTGGTTCATCAGTATGACCGTTTGCAGTGTGATCCATGGAACTAGCAATACATCAGGCGCCCCCTTTGAAAGACGAAAACTTCTCCGTCATAAAAGGGGCAAAACCCTCCCACCCTACCCTTGATGGAAAAAGTTTCAGACGAAACAAAGATTCATCATGTTTGACCATGAAATTAAAGTGTTGGGAAAACTGGAAAACACACCTAGTGCGCAGAGCAAAACGGAAGTTAAACAAAAAGTGTTTGTTTGAAAACTTCCAGATTTGATTTAAGTTGTTTTGCTCAAACATTGTTGCGTGTGCAAATAAGAGAAAGTTTCTCAGGAGAAACTCGCAACCAAAAAATTCGAAAGGAACTTAGCAGGGATATCTTCCAAGGCTCCACGGGACGGGCCATCTGCAATATTACTAGACGAAGGGACTCTAGCATACCAAGCAACAAGACTCAACTCGTCTTCAAGATGCAAAATGGCAGAAATCAGCTCTTTGCCTGGTGAAGTACGAGCCGACCCACTTATGCAAACGTCACGGGTTGAGTTGTTATCGATGTAACCCACAACAGGGCGATTTCTGATGTGCTTCTTCCACAGTGTCAACGCAACCAACAGGGCAAGCATTTCAGCTTCGAAGATAACCGTGCTTTTCCCAGGGTATCCCAGGGATGCCAAGTGCTCAGGCTTGAGCTTCAAGGAGAAGGCAGAAAGATAGGATCCTTTGCAATCAACCAGAACTCCACCCAAACCTCCGGGCCAGGTAACATCATTGGGAGAGAAGGAGGCATCAGTAAAAATGAAAAACAGCGTGTCCCATTTTGCAGTGACCTCGCGGGGTCTCGAGACTGTCAAGCAATTTCTAAACACCTCCAATGCCTCGACCGTGCGGTCACTAAGAATTTCACCGGCTGAGCAGTAAGCATGGTTTGTCACAGCCGTTAAACATAGTTTCGCCGCGCGACCCCACATCTGTGCCTTTGCGAATTGCATGCGTCCCCTCAGCACAAGGGCGTCGGGTTTTTTCAAACGGCCAGCAAGCAAAATTTGATTTATGGTGTCCAGGAGCTCACGCGTACGCTTCTCAGTGTTCGCAAAGGAGACAACACCAGCCAACCAGCGCTCGCAATTGATCTCGATCCCCAAGGCTTTGAACCGGACATCAAATGGTAGGTCCTTGTCACCAAGGGCTACTGCCCACCCCAAAAGCTTGAAGAATTGGAGCGCAGTAAGAGATACCAAAGGACACTCAGGCTCACGCGCCAACGTGATAAAGTCATCAAAGAAGTTGCTCCAGGTTAAATGAAGAGCTTTGCACCCCAGCCACCACAGGGAGTGGGCTACACGTAGGAACCCATAAACGCTCTTGCTAGCCCCAAATGGCAACGCTCTCATGGCAAAGATCTTTGGTAGGGTCATACACAGCAATGTAAGAAACCCATTTGGCGGCAGGAGACACTCCAAGCTGCCTGTAGGCTGATGAAAGGTCGATTGTTTTTCCCAACCACTGCGAATCACCACCTACTTTTTACAGCTCCATGCACAAGGCTGCTACAACATCCAAGGTGTGAAGTTTTGACGCTGTTTCCACCTGAACAGTATCATTGACACAAGAGGCTGAGAAGTCATCGATGAGTCTGACTTTCAAAGACTCACCCGACGACTGCTTGATGCCAAAACGCCTACTCACAACTGCACATGCAGGAAGGTCTGCTGGCTCGAAGGGGCCCTCAAGCCATCCGCAATCAAGCTCCTCAAGGGTCTTGGCAAAAACTGTTGAGTCGATCTCCGCATCCCCAGACGATCTGACGGTTTGAAGCATGGCAACCCTTGATGCTTTCGCGGTCTGGGCCAATTCCGCCAAGGACAATTTGGCAGGTTTAAAACAAGGATCAAACGCCGGGACAGCCTCAACCGGACCAGCAAGGTCGATGCCTTCAACGACTTCTCCAAACACCTCACAGTCCGGATACCCGTAGAACTGTAGCATCTCTTTCCAAAGGAGTAATCTTTTTGGCGCAAGGATTTGTTGCAATGACTCGGGCAGACTTGCGTGAAGGGCGGATTCATCCCCACACGAGATCTTGCTCTTTCCAACCAATAGGCCAACACGGCATGGCGACGTTTTGCCAGCTCCCCGATGGGCACGGTTGCTACACACTGGACGGCTTCGTGCAGCGGCCCTGGCAATTTTGCAGATCTCCCAACCGGGTGCCCTGCTTTCACTGCAGCATCTACAAACTGCAGTCCCGTGCGGTAAACACCAAAGTAAGCAACTGGCTGATCCTGCAGGGCATGGGTATGCTCTGAACTGGGCTTACCTGGACAAGGCTTTTCGGGGCTCTTAAATGGGCCGGCTGGCCAATTTAGGTTATCATCACAAAGTTTATCCCCACAAGGTTTATCCCCACTACCCTTCTTACTACCCTTCTTACTACCCTTCTTACCCCCATTTAACCGTAGAGGTGGACGACGCAGCAGTCTTGACCCTGGAGGCACATGCTGAAGGGCGTGTTGGAGTTGTTGCCCATATTGAACAGGCAGTCCATCTGGGGGGACTTGCAGGCATAGAACATGGGAGTACTCTGACAACAAAGGCGGCAATTTGCTGGCTTTCGGTTGGGTTCCGACAACTGCCCTTAGATACTGAAAAGAAATACTTTCGGGTTCAGCGAACTCAATGCCTGGAGGATTCCAACCAAGATTTATCAGCTCTTGAGCGATGCAAAATGCAATCGTATATGCAAGGAGCGGCGGGTAGGCCGTCTCTTCTGAGGTTGGAAATTTCTGTGAATTGGGTTGGTCATGGTTTTGGACCATGCCCCACGGTTTGTGCCCATGAAACTTGCTAAGGCCCGGGCAAGTTTTGCAGAGGCCAAGCAATGACGTAGTGTTGTGTGCCAAGACTGTCCATTTTGGTCGGCTAGACCCGTAGGCACATGCCTGATGGGCTGTGAATTGCAATCTTTTACGCAAGGGCGCAAACATGGTGGTGCGCCAGTACAAGGATGATCTTGGGTTCTCCACAACAACAATCATGCCAACGTCCAGGCAAAAGAGACATACATCGGAAATGAATTTGTACAAAGTGTTTGCAGACCAAACACGCCTACGATTCACATAGCTCATGCAATCTACACCATCTGGCTGATATTCAGACCTCAGTGGCTGAGGACCTGCTATCTGAATACCCCCAACTACTGCCAGGGGGGGGTTGGTTTTTCATAATAGACCCCAAAATCCAAGGGTCTGAAATTGTGTGCTCCCAGTAAAACCGTAACTTTTAGACCATGATCCTAGACCCCCCCTGGGTATTCCAAATAGGGGTCTAGGATCATGTGGAACAGGGTTATCATGATGCTGACAAGTGATGTCAAGTTCGGGTAGGTTAAGAATAGACCCCCCAAAAAAAACGGGCCCGAAAAGATTTCAGACCCCATGTTTGGTGATCGATTTGTTTTCAGTGACCTTACAATGTCAGACCCCCTTTCTGGGACAACCAATCTTAGACCCCAAAGGTGCAAATTCCAAATTTGACCAATGTCCCAACAGGTTGAAAGTCCCAACAGAAAATGCCAGGGGTTGAGCTGTGGAATTCAGTTTTTTTTGTTTCATTGGGGGTCTGAAATGGTATTTTGCATCATCAGCTGTTGAAAGAATGGTTCAACCTCCAAGTACGACCAACCTAGACCCTCTGTTGCGAGCCTACGCCTTGTTTGCGAGCTCTACATGGTTTTTCTTGCATATTTTGAAATGATGTCCAATTGAATGGAGTGTGAATCTTGAAATACGACCCTTTTTGTTACTGTTTTTTTGCCCCAACAGGTTGAAAGTCCCAACAGAAAATGCCAGGGGTTGAGCTGTGGAATTCATTTTTTTTGTTTCATTGGGGGTCTGAAATGGTATTTTGCATCATCAGCTGTTGAAAGAATGGTTCAACCTCCAAGTAAGACCAACCTAGACCCTCTGTTGCGAGCCTATGCCTTGTTTGTGAGCTCTACATGGTTTTTCTTGCATATTTTGAAATGATGTCCAATTGAATGGTGTGTGAATCTTGAAATACGACCCTTTTTGTTAATGTGTTTTTGTCCCAGCAGGTTGAAAGTCCTAACAGAAAATGCCAGGGGTTGAGCTGTGGAATTCAGTTTTTTTTGTTTCATTGGGGGTCTGAAATGGTATTTTGCATCATCAGCTGTTGAAAGAATGGTTCAACCCCCAAGTAAGACCAACCTAGACCCTCTATTGTGAGCCTATACCCTTATTTGTGAGCTCTACATGGTTTTTCTTGCATATTTTGAAATGATGTCCAATTGAATGGTGTGTGAATCTTGAAATACGTCCCTTTTTGTTAATGTGTTTTTGTTCCAACAGGTTGAAAGTCCCAACAGAAAATGCCAGGGGTTGAGCTGTGGAATTCAGTTTTTTTTGTTTCATTGGGGGTCTGAAATGGTATTTTGCATCATCAGCTGTTGAAAGAATGGTTTAACCCCCAAGTAAGACCAACCTAGACCCTCTATTGTGAGCCTATACCTTATTTGTGAGCTCTACATGGTTTTTCTTGCATATTTTGAAATGATGTCCAATTGAATGGTGTGTGAATCTTGAACTACGACCCTTTTTGTTAATGTGTTTTTGTCCCAACAGGTTGAAAATCCCAACAGAAAATGCCAGGGGTTGAGCTGTGGAATTCAGTTTTTTTGTTTCATTGGGGGTCTGAAATGGTATTTTGCATCATCAGCTGTTGAAAGCATGGTTCAACCTCCAAGTAAGACCAACCTAGACCCTCTATTGTGAGCCTATACCCTATTTGTGAGCTCTACATTGTTTTTCTTGCATCTTTTGAAATGATGTCCAATTGAATGGTGTGTGAATCTTGAAATACGACCCTTTTTGTTAATGTGTTTTTGTCCCAACAGGTTGAAAGTCCCAACAGAAAATGCCAGGGGTTGAGCTGTGGAATTCAGTTTTTTTGTTTCATTGGGGGTCTGAAATGGTATTTTGCATCATCAGCTGTTGAAATAATGGTTCAACCTCCAAGTAAGACCAACCTAGACCCTCTATTGTGAGCCTATACCCTATTTGTGAGCTCTACATTGTTTTTCTTGCATCTTTTGAAATGATGTCCAATTGAATGGTGTGTGAATCTTGAAATACGACCCTTTTTGTTAATGTGTTTTTGTCCCAACAGGTTGAAAGTCCCAACAGAAAATGCCAGGGGTTGAGCTGTGGAATTCGTTTTTTTTGTTTCATTCGGGGTCTGAAATGGTATTTTGCATCATCAGCTGTTGAAATAATGGTTCAACCTCCAAGTAAGACCAACCTAGACCCTCTATTGTGAGCCTATACCCTATTTGTGAGCTCTACATTGTTTTTCTTGCATATTTTGAAATGATGTCCAATTGAATGGTGTGTGAATCTTGAAATACGACCCTTTTTGTTAATGTGTTTTTGTCCCAACAGGTTGAAAGTCCCAACAGAAAATGCCAGGGGTTGAGCTGTGGAATTCAGTTTTTTTTGTTTCATTGGGGGTCTGAAATGGTATTTTGCATCATCAGCTGTTGAAAGAATGGTTCAACCTCTAAGTAAGACCAACCTAGACCCTCTGTTGCGAGCCTATGCCTTGTTTGTGAGCTCTACATGGTTTTTCTTGCATATTTTGAAATGATGTCCAATTGAATGGTGTGTGAATCTTGAAATACGTCCCTTTTTGTTAATGTGTTTTTGTCCCAACAGGTTGAAAGTCCTAACAGAAAATGCCAGGGGTTGAGCTGTGGAATTCAGTTTTTTTTGTTTCATTGGGGGTCTGAAATGGTATTTTGCATCATCAGCTGTTCAAAGCATGGTTCAACCTCCAAGTAAGACCAACCTAGACTCAGACCCTCTATTGTGAGCCTATACCCTATTTGTGAGCTCTACATGGTTTTTCTTGCATCTTTTGAAATGATGTCCAATTGAATGGTGTGTGAATCTTGAATACGACCCTTTTTGTTAATGTGTTTTTGTCCCAACAGGTTGAAATCCCAACAGAAAATGCCAGGGGTTGAGCTGTGGAATTCAGTTTTTTTGTTTCATTGGGGGTCTGAAATGGTATTTTGCATCATCAGCTGTTGAAAGAATGGTTCAACCTCCAAGTAAGACCAACCTAGACCCTCTATTGTGAGCCTATACCCTATTTGTGAGCTCTACATTGTTTTTCTTGCATGTTTTGAAATGATGCAATATTTTGTCATATTATATATGTTGAATTGTACTTACATTTTGTCATGTTTGAATGGTATAACTCGCGCGTCGTGGCGAGGTGCCTTGGCCATGAATAACAATGAATAGCCGTCTTTAATTTCATACATTTTTTTTTCAGGATTCGTTTCTATTCTTTCTATCAAAGAGCTGCGAAGAGAACCTGCAGAGTTAGAGCCATCGCCTTGCTGATGCTGTGTTCCATGAAAAGCTTGGAGCAGATCAGGGAAAGATAGTGAAAGTTGGCAACATGCCAACCCTTGGCAAGATGCCAAAATTAGATAAAATCAGAACATTGCTTTGGGTGAGCAAAGTTCCAAGACAAGACCACAAGACAAGGCGACGCAGAAAAAAAAAACATGTTGTGCGATGATGTGCCCTGTTGGTCCATTATGTGGGGTCTGAAAAACACATTGCATGTCCAAAAAAATAATGCACAAACAAAAATGCCTACTTTGAGATCACACAGATCCTAAATTATATCAAAAAACGTACGAAAACAATCAAAAACGTAGGAAACCCGTTAAAATTTACATCAAGTTATGTGAGATAACGTAGCAGGGTCTAATATCTTTTTTGTAAACCCCCCCCCTTTTACGTTTTTGATTTTAGACCCCAAATGTGGGAGGAAGTTTTGGGGGGGGTGGAATGATTCCAGACCCCAAAAAGGGGTCTAGGGTGAAACCACCCCCTCAAATTGTCAAAAATGAGATTGATCATATTAGACGTGGGGGGTCTCGAATCATCAGTTTTGGGGTCTATTATGATTATGGGAAGTATGATAAAAACCTATGTTGAGGGGTCTGAGATCATCAGGGGGTTGGGGTCTAACATGAAAAAATACCATTCTAGACCCCCCCCTCGGGAGAGCCCTGGGTATACCATTTCAAACCCTTTAGTAGTTGGGGGTATCTATCTGAGCACCATTTGGTAAAGTGATTGGGATTCCACGGGCCTTGCTACAGGTGCCACAAGGAGGTGCACAAAAGACTCCCATGCAGCTTGGCGAGCGTATCCATGACCAGCAAAGTTGCTGGCCTTCATCTGATGTGAGATCTGCCACAAGGACCCGACCAGCGTTCCTCTGTCTTTTGTGGTCGACACCAAAGGATGTTGGAAGGCCAAGGGATTGTAGGCATGATGTGACACGTGCTGAACCGGCACAAATCTCAATAATAAATGGCTCTTTAGGCATGGGCTTATGAAAATGAGAAAAATTGCAAAAAGGAATTTGACTGGCCTTTGCCAGTGTTGGTTTGAGGCGGCTCACTCTTCGGCGGCTGCTGCTCAGGCTCAGCTATGGGCGTTGGAATTCCACTGGCAAGACCCCTTAGGGGTTCGTTGTGCACAAAGGGACGGGTCTCCTCAGGAGACATTGCTGCACAGCTATCGACCCTGCATTTCTTTCTGGCTGGATCATCTGGGTCTAGTCAAGACTTTTTGTGATCCATCATGCAATGCTGCCCATAACAAATACAACACATGTGGTACCCTTTTCGACATCGGCCATCTGTGACAGGTTCCTTGCACTTTTTCAGAGAAAAATCGAAACAAATTGGTTCTCCGTCAGGGGTTGATGCCGTTCCACCAGCTGCACGAATTTCACGTGGCACCCGCTGGTCTGATTTCATCTTGGACTTCCCTTTGCCTTTCGAACCGTATGGTTTAAATCGGTTAAGGCCCTTACGACCTCCTTTTGTTTGAACCGGTGGCTGAGGCTTTGCTGATGGCCCAGAAGGCTGCGCCGCAGTTGTTTTGACAGGTTGTTTCAAGGGCAATGGGAGCAAGGCAAAACTGACTTCGTATGACTTCAATGATTCCTCAAGCTGAGTATCCAGTTGGAGGACTCCAGCAGCATCAGGGCGTGGTTTAACGTTCTTCTCAATAAGATGACTCCAGGATGCTCTATCAGCAGCCAGCAACTGTGAAACACTACATCGGCTGTAACCCGATGGCGGGTCTCTGTTCAAGTGGGCAAACAACAATTGCACATACTTGTCATGACAGGTGAAAGACATAACGTTGGCAAAGTCCAGGGCCAAGCCCCGTCGTTTGAAAGCCTCAAGCGCTTGGTATGAAGACTGAATACCAGTCTCAAATTCGTTGTCTTTGTCCCGAAGCACCACTTTTGACGCTTCAACCTCCAGGAGTTTCAACTGTGGCTTGTTGTTGTGAGCCAATTCAGTCAATCGGCTGTAGCATTTTTCAAGAGGGATGAAGCGCAGGACATTTTGATCATAAAGCTGCGTAGCTAAATCCAACAGTGCATGGCTGGGCTCGGAGTGGCCTTCGATCAGCACGCCAACAAGTCTGTTTTTCAAATTGGTGAGCCTGGATTCCCTTTCGGCAGGAGCAACTTTTGGGGCTATGCTAGGCTCTGGGTTCATGACCTGCTCCTTCAAAATAGCAAGAAGTTGTGTTTGACTTTCAAACAACAAACGTTTCAATGCTGCCACCCCTCCAATTGTGGCAGAGGGATCCAGCTGCCTCACCCAGTTTTGGAATTCATCGGGATTGATTGGTTGTCCTGGTTGTCCATGGGCATATGCAAGGGCTGAAATGGTGCATACGCCAGCATCCTTAAGGGCATCTTGCAGGCTTTGAGGAAGCTTGACCTGGCCCATACGAAGCTCAAATTGCGCTTCAGAATCCACAATCGAAGTCATGATGGCTCGGCACAGAAATGAATGGCGCGGGGCAGAGCAGTTGAGAAACTTATGACCAAACACTATATTTAAAACAAATCTGCCAAAAAAAATTGAAGTTCATTTGCAGAACAAAAAGGGAACCACAAATGAACACATTGTCATGCTCAAACGCATGTTGAGCTGTGAACCAATGAACGGCGGTGTGCCGAGAAATTCGGAGATCATCCTCTCTGAATGCATGGCCATGAACAATGGAGTTCATCCTCCCAAGCTTACATCAGCTCGAAGCCAGAGATGAAAGATCAGCCTTTTTATCTTCATCGGCCACATCACGCTGGAAGGTCCATTTGAGCCAATTTGCCCTACTTGCGGTTGCAGGACTTGCACAAGATATTCCAAGCAGTGGCTTCCGTACATCTCGAATAACTGTCAGTCAATCTCTTACCACACACCAAAAATTTCACATCGTTGCGGCTGTCGCCATTGAAGCGGTGCACCAAGTGGGACTTCGAATGGACAAAACACTCTTCCCTGTCAGGTATGCGTGCCCTGAACCTCTTAACACGTGGCTGTGCAGTGGCTGTCTCAGGATCATCTGAGGACTCTGCACTACTCGAACTGGATGAGTCCGAATCCAAGACCAAAGTCTCCCCAGCACAACTGTCATCCATGTGTTCCTGAATCCCAGTGTTCTCGCATGTATTTCCGATGGTATCATCAGTAAAAACCTCAGGGGAATCAGGGATGACGATGAAGCCGTCCTCAACAGCGGCCTCTTGCTTGACACACTGGTGCGGCTCCTCATGTGAAATGTCACTGGGTTCCCTGAAGAACCTGGATCTCTCTGCATCAGGTGAAAAAGTTCCATCAGCCACACAATCGATCACTTTTTGCAGCTCTGCAACAGGAGCGCAAGCCAAGTCACGCGAGTAAATAGAGAAGGTTTCATTCAAACATGATGTGTGCCTTCCAAGCAAGGAACGGGTCTGAGGTGAGAGCCCATACCTTGCTGACCAAGCCAGCAGCGTCGCCTTGAGGCTGTGGCTGGAAACAATCTCACCATCAAATCCTGGTGCAGGCTCGTCAATGCCCAGGAAACTTCGTAAGGCTTTTGACACCTCCGTGGACCTCAAGCCTCTATTCATGAAGACTCCCACACCGCCGGCTGGAGCATGAACCAGTGGCCCATCTATTGGGTTTTGAATTGAGCACCCAGCAAGTTCAAGGACTTCCAATGCTTTGCCAGGCCAGATGCTCCCATCCACTCCACGCGCCGGAATGATGATGGGCAGTAACCTTGTCTTTAGGGAGGCCAACCGACCTGACTTGTGATTGCATGTTGTAAGGATCACAAAGCCACCCTTTGAGTCAAAGTCACACTCAATGGTGCGCACCGCTAGCAAATCACTGTTGCGGCAACGTCCATACAGAGCAAAGAGCAAGTGGGCCACCAAAACGCGATCCATCAAATGTCTGTCATTGTCAACCAAAATGTTGTGCAATCGGATGATCTGAGCTGAGGTGAGGACCAAGGCCTGGCGCAACAACCTCTTTCCAGTCAGCATCAGCTCACTTGCCCCTATGAGTCTCCGGCTGTTGGCGGCAGGTTTCAAGCACTCAAAACCCAAAACAAAAACGGCAAATCTCACAGCGGACATCATGGAATCAGCTTTGGAAGCTGCAGCGCCAGAATCTTTTAGATATCTAAAATAATCCCACAAAACATGTTCTTGAAAGCAGTTCGACTCACATCTACCAGCCAAGTCACACCACCTGAGGAATGCTAACATCGAGTTAGCCCGTTTGACCAATGTTGCAGGCGATTTCACACCTACCACTGAATCAATGATTTCAAGCGCACCCTCATGAGAACCCTCGCGCTGAAGAAGCTCCGAAATGTGCTGGCCAGTACTGCTAGCATTCAAGTTGTGCTGCAGGACAATGAAAATCTTACCAATTGCAGTGTCCCTGAGCCACTCGAAATACAAGCAGAAAACACTGGACATGAAGTGTCAAGCATGGCAAGACTGGCAACCGTTTTAACAACCTCTTGAGGCGCGACACCCAAATCAAAATTGCAAAACTCGCTGACAGGCATCTTGGGTATCAGGCCGGTAGAAAAAGGTTCATCACTGAAAATATCACCAAAGATCCCGACTTCCCACGGCAGCTTGATGCCAGTGACATCAACATTGCTGAACAAATTTCTGGCAAATGTGGCTTCGTGAACAGCTCGGGAAACAACCGGTTGGAAAGAACTTGAACTGCTTGAATCCTGCTGTTGCAAAAAACTGAAGACATTGGCAGTTGCATCGCTGACTGGAGGCCCAGGCGAATTGCCAGCTTCATCCACGTGAAGTTCAGCAGGAACTCATCACCTGAAAGAGCGGGTGGTCCAAACAAAGGAAAGGCACTTTCGTTTGTCTCATCTGCAAGGCCTGGTTCAACATAGGAATCATCCTCAAGTATTTCGGCATGTCCAGTTTCAACATCACCGTGACCAGTCTCAACATCACCGACAACGCTTTGACCAAAGGCAACAACATCACTGTCAAATCTCTGCATCCCCAGTTTGACCGAACAAAAGCCACAGGATGCAAAAAGCGAAACCGGCAATGAAACTGACTGAAAGTGGTAAAACTTTGAAGCAAATGCGATGATGTGGAATGTGGCCAAGACAAATGAGACACTGAACTGCAGTACGTCCACGAGCCACGGACTGCACTGGGCGGCGCATACCCACCCCGTCGAAAATTTTTCTAACCCTTGACATCAAAAATGGCAACTTGAGAAGGGAATTCACAAGTGCAAGTGAACCAAGACTGGGATGTTGCCACATCATCAAACATTGAAAAGGGTTTGTTGGTTCACAAATAAACGGTCAGTGCATTCCTTGTGATTTCACATGACCAAACGTTTGGAATAACAGGGCTTGAAGTTGAACTTTGGAAACAGATATTGCAGACCATGAGAAAGGTAACTGTTTGTTGCGCAAGGACGCATGGTTAGTTTATATTAGATAGCGTGGCTAAAAGTTTATGGTTTATAAACTTTTCTGCGGCTTATGATTTAAGGCACTATCAACACGTTGACCGTTTGCGTAAAAACCCACTGTGTCACAACAGACTCAAAACCTTGCAACAAACGAATTAGTTGCCACCCAGAAAAGTGAGACACGCGATCTACGTTGTTGCCAAGGGGACAACAAAAAGTCGCAATTGCTATACACTGTCGCCTAACCCAGCCTCTCAGAGTCCTCTCACGAGTACTTGTTCACGTGCCCATGTTCAGAAAAAGAGCAAGTACCAAAAGGTGTAAGCAAGAGCAGGAGGAAGATGACATTGGCGGCCAGGTGTCTTGTGCCCCTCCCCATTGCGGGAAGCGGCCCAGTGGCTACGACAAAGCGGTCACACAGGGCCAGGTAAGTGACCATCCGTCACCAGCCACTAAAAACTTGTGAGTCTCAGGGTGGACATGACTACCGTGCCAAGTCAAAAGGGAGAACGTTCCAGGCACTATCAAGCATGGCAGCACCAAGTTGTTGTGCCTAACGACATGCTTGCCGTAGCTGTAGACTCATCATCAATACATGCGTTGTCTCGAAGGCGCCAAGCTGAAAAATATCTGCAGAACTGTGCTCCCAGAGTGTCTTCGTCTCAGCAAAGTACCTGCAGTGCATTGCAACATAGCAAAAGCAAGGGGTCAGCCTGGAAATCCAGAGTAAACACCACTCTTCCGACGAGTGGGCCATCTGAGTAACCGCTGATTCGAGAAAGAAACTCACGATCCATGTACGCAGGCTTTGCTGCTCACGGGCGCCCAAGACTGTCCAACAGAGAGTGCCACTGGTTCGCACCAGTGTAACTCGCTGCAGTGCAGCCTGGTCCATGGCTCCGGCCGGCTACAACCTACTTCCCTTACAGAATAAGAAGTAAGTGCCAGAGGGACCAAGCAACAGAACAGCCAAGCCGAAACAACAAACAAAGGAATAAAGGGACAAACCAGCCCCCAACCGAAAAAGGAGAGAGGGAGGAAGTCAAAGTGGCGGGTGTGTGTGTGTATTGTTGGGGTCAACAGTCCTCAGCTATCCTTAGTCACCTCAGCCGTAGCCATTTTGGCTCAAGGCTTAGTTACCAGCCCTTAGGCGTAAGCTCATACTAGCACACTGTAGCAGGCAATTATCCCCTACTCAATCCCCCACGTAATTTCATCCTATCTGTGAAGCTTCTCTGTGAGTACTGTCTTCGCATTCTCTTGGTTTCTGTCCCTTTCTTTTGTGTGGATTAACTCTCTGCCTGTCTCTGGGTACCTGGCTTTTCTGGCCGCAGACTGGTCCGGACTGTCAGTACCTCTCCGCCTTCCGGTTCCCCCTGTTGCCCCCTGGTCCCGGTGATTGACTTCTTTGTCTCTCCCTTTCCTTTTGTCGTCCGTCCCCCTCTCTCCTCTTCGCTTTTTCGATTTGGTGTGTCCCTTTCCGTTGTCCCGCCTCTTTGTCTCTCCTGTCCTGTCTTTCTGGCCTTTCCCTTCCCCCTGCTTCTGACTCCTCGGCCGCAGACTGGTCCGGGTTGTCAGGGCTCTCTTTCCTCCGCCCCCTCTCCCCCTCTGTTTCGCGTGTTGTGCCTGGTCTTTCTGGCCGCAGACTGGTCCGGATTTCCAGCGCCACCCTCTTCCCCTCCCTTCCCTCTCTTTTGTACTTCCCTCATCCCTGACTTGTTTTCTCGTCAGGACCTTAGGCTCAGCGTGATATTTCTGGCCGCAGACTGGTCAGGGGTATCACATTGCTGGCTCCCCAGTCAAACAATCCCTTCCTCTAACTCTGACACGTTCTCTGGCCGCAGACTGGTCCGGGGCGTTGCTGCTCACCACACATCATGGTACTCCTCACAAGACAACAAGCAGAGCAGTCATGGACTGAACCTGACCCTAATGCGCAGTTCGATGATCTGTTGGATGCGCTAGGCCTGTATAAAGACATTTCTACTGAGTATGGCTTGAACAGACGGTCCATCACCAATGGCGCTTTGGGGATCCACATGTGAAAACTGGTGAGCCGGACAGACATGACTATGCGATCAAGATAGTGAATGGCAGTGAGGTTGCACCAGGACCCAACTGGCACAGTCTTTATCGCTGGGTCGTCAGCCAAGCTGCGGAATTCCTTGCATTTCAGACTGTCTACCTCGTCACTGACAATCGAGACCTACTGGCGGACACTGTAGCAAACACTCCAGGGGTGCTCACTGGCCTATGGTGGCTGCGTGGTGGAAAGAGCGAATCAGGTATGTTGGCCCCTATGGTGAGCGCACCACGGTAGTCTTCGTGCCCATATCTGCTGACACGGGACTAGATAAGGTGCACCCGACATGGGCAGGCACCTACATACTCGATGCATGTGTCTTTCTCTTCCCGGACATCAATTTTGCCCTTATTGACAGCGATTGTGTTCCTGTGACACTCTTCGAAATTCAGGAACTTTGGCTATCGTGCACAGGTCATGATCATCCTGCTGACTGTTGCCCACCAGATGAACCTGGGCCGAGCAGCCCAATTGCGCCAGCGCACAAGAGGGCACGATCTGTTGATACGGGACGAGCCACGCAACAGCCGGGCCCTCCGGTCAAGCTACCCAAATCGCGAAGTGTTGAGAATCTTGCTGCCGCTCACTTGCGTGTACCGTCTCCAGATGCGTTTGGCAGTTTTGAGGATGAGGTTGATTTTGGTGGGTCAGAACCGCCGAGTCCCCACGACTTGCAGAGCCAGCACAATGTGGGTGGTTGCCGCTTGCAGCAGCACTGTTCGGCACAGTGGACTGGCAGCCGCAATGGCTCCACCATAATTTTCTCCCTGTTATAGGGTTGCGGGTGCATGTGAAGATTCCGCCGTCCCCGCTCTCCTGTCAGCAAGTGGTATCTTTGCTTGGTCTGTGGGAGCGCAGAGCTACTCTAGGAAGTCAGTGTCGTGCCCTTGCCCAGGCAGCGGAACTCAAATTTGGCCTACCAGCACTATTCACAACACCGGAAGACTGGCAAACCCAAATTAAGGGAGATGTCGTTGATGTCGTTCAGTGTGCCCAGCGAATCTATACAGGAGCTGCTGCCAGTGAGTCAGGCGTTTCGCTGGAACGCCCACAAAAGTGGGCGAAATGGGTATTCTCTTTGGAGGAGGTTTGGCAAGATGATGCGCCTATGCCGGAACGTCCCCTCACTGTGCACTGTAGTGGGCTAGGTGGAGGGCTTCTGAGCCCTGATCATGAGTATGACATTTTCTTTCAGAACCATGCTCAGATGAAAGTCTATGGTCCTTCCCTTGCCATGACGGATGACTGGGAGCAGCGCATACCCAGTTGGGCTTGACCAAAACCACTCATGAATATGCAGTCTATCAGCTGCTCTCCACGGCACTGGGATGGAGCGTATGGAAGGCTTTCCTCCCGGGGAGGTTTGCCGACCACAAGCTCCTCATCACTCGCGCCATACGGTTACTAACGGCTGCTACAATTCGGCCCCTGTTCCGGAGGGTATGAGGGAAGTTGACATTCTTGGCTTCTCAGCGGGGTCCTACACTGGGCTGGCAATACATGAAGTGCTCAATGAGTTCGCCTGCTTCCCGGGAACCACCAAGGTTGCAGCCATTGCCTCTCCGCCTGAGATGCTGCGCCTCGCTACAGAAGAGCGGTGTATAGAGGACCAGCTCTGTGTATGGCGTCCAGACTCGCTCACCGATTTGAGCTACAATATTGTGCTAATAGAAGGGCATCCTGCCTGGAGTGGTCGCTCTAAGCATGCGTATGGACATCTTTTGTTCACTACAATTGCAGATGGCACCTACCATATTGACCACCTACAAATCACGACACCACAGGTCATCCCGCATGGGGTCAGATGCGAAGGACTCTTGCGAGCGCTTTCATGGGTGAGCTTTGATCTCCCGGATCATTGCAAGCGCACCTTGAGTGCCTTATTGCAGGCTGCGGGAAACGGATGTTCGGACCTGCACACAGTGCCAT